ACTTACCTATCATAGCCTGGGCTGCTCGTTGGATGTCGTCTGCGTCCACACTGACCTTTCTCTCAAAGTCTGTGTCGCTCGTGGCTGTGTGGTTTGCTGTGGTCTGTGTGCGTATGTCTGTTGAAGTGTCTGTGAGTTCTTTGTCTTCGCCCTCAGTTGAGTGCTGCTGTTCCGTTGGTGACGGAATATATTCCTCGTTAATTGTCTCTGGTTGCGCACTGGTTTCGTCTATTGCATTGTCTGTAGAAAGTGATGGATTTAGGTTTGTACACTGTTTGGAGACTACAATTCCGTTGAATGTTTGAATGTTCAAATGTCCAGGAACTAAAACTATCAGAAATCTATTTTTTTTTATGTGCGCGTGGATTGATAGCGCTGTGTTTATTGGCGGCGCAACGGAAAGTGATCCCAAGTACAAAAAATGTTTCTATAAATACATAAACTATTACTAACTACACATGACATACACTAGTACAGATGTCATGTCTGGCGTCAAAGGCAATTACTCAAACAACTAGACTTTAAGAATGGGCGTGTGGAGATAGCAACACTCGTAAGTTATACGATATATATATATTGCTATACTACAATATACATATCGTTATATATATATATATATATGTGTGTGTGTGTGTGTGTTTCTCAAACCAAGTTTTATACACGTGTCTGTTGGCATACCACACGTACAAATATGTTAATCAAAAGAAGCCAAAACAGAATGTGTGCAAAGACAGATGCACTTTTACCAATCAACACACATGACACATATGTCAATCAGATGACAACAACAGACACACAGTCTCCAAAGTAAACATCCACACATGTCACTCATGTCACACTTGTCACTCCTAAAACCCTAAACCCTAAAACCCTAAAACATGTACAAATGTCACTAAAGCCCCACACCCTAAAGCCATGGCCCTGCTTGACTACTCACCATCGCCTGCACTGTGGTGTGGTGGTGTGGATGGATTGGCGACCTTCGGTGCCGTTGCTATGGCGTCGGTTGGCATAGCAACGGGCCCGGTAGTGTCGATGCTCTGTGCCAATGTCCGTGGCTGCAGATTGTGGGGCTGTAGGTCAGAGAGAGACATGAGCTGTTTGTTCAATGGGAGTGATTGTTATGGACACAGCACGAAAGCACACAAGGCAGAGCGGTAGCAGCACACACACCAACAGATTCACTACCAAACAAGACCTAAACATCCGGAGAGGTGTAGGATTTAGGGTTTAGGGTTTACTCGCATTACATGTACCAGGGGATGGGACAACAGAATGTTCTGTGGTAGTAGGACCGTCAGCTAAACCCTAAACGGTAAACCTCTAAAAATGTCTAAAACGCTAAAACCCAAAACCCTAAAACATCACAGTGCTAGAATGGTCAATGGAGACGGTGCAGATAACTGTTAGGGCAATTAACCAACACAATCACACCAGGTCTAAAAACTAAAACAGCCACACAAACAACAATAACAATAACAATAACAATACGGATAATAAGAATAAGAATAAGAATAAGGACAACACGGCACACAGCTTAAACTAGTGCAGAGGTAAGGGTTATTCTACTAACAACTCATTGCACTCGTCCGTGTGCTCACCTCTACGCCGTGCATGTGACAGACGTCGTTGTAGCAGTCCATGACCACATACAACTCAGAGCACAGCCGAATGAAGCCGCTCGCAAAGGCGTCTGAGGCGGCTAGGGCATTGCTCACTTGCGTGTACGTCATTTTGTCCCACTGTGTTGTAGGGTTGTAAGGTTGGTTTAGAGTTTCAGGTTTATAAACACACTGTGCTGTAGGGGTATAAGGCAATTTAGGGCTGTTTCAAATGTTTAATGGTGTCATATATATGTTTTTAAGGTTGTAGAGTTTCAGAGGTGTAGGGTTTTCTTTTAATATTGTAGGGTTTTGTATTAGGATTGTAGGGGTTGTTTAAATTATTGTACGGTTTTGGTCAGGTTAGTTAACAAGGATGCTTGAGAGCCATACCACCCGTAGGGCATTAGCGGTGTGCATGTTTTAGGGTTTAGGGTTTCAAGAGGTTTTATTCCTGTTACTTTGTTTAGTGCACTGTGGATGCAGATACGTGACAATTGACTGAAGTATTACTATCTACTACGGAAAGACTCCCTCTAGCTTATAAATGGTATTTTCATGAACACAACTTGATTGTCAAAGTGTGTAGATACGGTGCAAGTGACTTATGTATTACTACCTACTACGGAAAGACTTCCTTCACCTTATGAATAGCATGTTTACTAACACCACTTGAGCGTCAAAGTGTGTACATACGGTGCAATTGACTTCTGTTTCAAAACCTACTGCTGCACGTAAAGTCTCTCTATGTAACAATCACGGTCTATGTTCACTTCTTTCACCACACTTGCCATTTCATTTGGAAGCAATATCTGTCTGTATTTAATTCCTACATATTACCACACTTGTCATTTCATTATGTTTTGCATGCATTCCTTCTATGCTACACACAAAACCCTAAAAACCCAAAACCCCATTACTTGAGGCACTCCTTCATGAGGGTTTTAGGGTTTAGGGGTTCACACTCCTTCGCACACACATTCTGCCACTTGCCAGTACCTTGTGATTGGTGTTAAGTCCGCAGCCAGTGGCACGCAGAGTGTCCAATGAAATCTCTTGGATAACCAATTCGCAGTATTCTGGTTGGCTCTTGGTTAAACGGCTCAGATGACCTGTGCGATTGTACACCTTCAGCACTTTTCGGTATGACGCCTCGTCAAAACGCCTACGCCAATGCGAATCAGCGGATGAGCACAGCACATGACAAGTGGCGTTAGAAGAAGAACAGCAGGGTTTGCGATTGTAGGGTTGTAGGGTTTTAGTGTTGGGTTTTAGGGTTGTAAGGTTTTAGGGTTTTAGGGTTGCAGGGAATAGTGATAGCAGAGCGGATGGTAATAAATAACGTGTGAAGTAGAGGGTCTTCAATGTAACGTATGATTGCTGGCTGATGTCCCGATGGGTGTGGTGAAAGTGTTTATCAGTTGATCGATGTTTCAGGGTTTCGGATTTAAGGGTTTTTAGGGTTTTGGTGCATATGTAAAAGTCATCACAACCGCAAAGCAGAGAGATGTACATGCACTACGACGGCCACATGTGCCGTCTGCCTATGCACCACAGATGTACACCCACGGGTCACCTGTAGGTAGACTTAAAGAACTGCAGGTAGAGTTAAAGAACTACCCACAGGCTACCTTGTCTGTAGGTCGATTTATGAACTGTAGGTAGACATAAAGAACTACGTGAAGAATACGTTACCTGTAGATAGACTTAAATAACTGTTACCTCACCTGTAGGTAGATTTAAGAACTGTAGGTAGACTTGAAGAACTACGCAAAGACTACGTTACCTGTAGGTAGACTTAAAGAACTCAGATAGTTCGCCCTCAATGGACTCCACCAGCGGCAGCAGTTGCTGTTCCATAGCAACGACACAGTTGTACTGTCGCAGAGTGCCAATGAGCTTAAGACAATCAGAGCACAGCGAAAACGCCTCAGAATAGTCCACCAACGCCATGTTGTGGGCCAACCGCGCCTGTGAGAAGAAGGATGTGGATGGATGGGGAGAGAAGAAGACGGGTGTATGTTTGTAATAAGAAGGCGAGTGTGTATGTTGGTAATTAAGATGTGTGTGTGCGTTTGTGAAAAGGAGACGTGTGTGTGTGTGTGTGTGTGTGTTGGTGATTAGAATACGTGTGTGTGTTGGTGATAAGGATGTTGTGTGTGTCAAAAAACCTATGCATATACATACTCATACACACAACTTACATTCAAAGACATACTTATATAACTAAACACTATCAACTACACTAAACAACTGTTAACACGCACATACGTCCACATACACAAACACATTACACTCAAACATATATACTTATATAATTAAACCCTACTAACTACACAACTATAAACACGCATGCACATGCACATACACATACATATGCACATACACATACATATGCACATAGATATAGACATAGACATAGACATGCACATACACATGCACGTACACATACACATGCACATACACAAACACACGCACTAACTTATATATTTAACCCCTACTAACTACGCAACTATAAACACGCATACACGTGCACATGCACATGCACATGCACATGCACATACACATACACATACACATACACATACACATACACACACATACTCATACTCATACACATACACATACACATACACATACACATACACATACACATACACATACACATACTCATACACATACACATACACATACA